AACGTATATTTAGTAGTTTATAAATGTGTAGGACTGACTTGAGGACCAGATTAAGCACTGATATAGTTGCAGAAATATTATATACCAACCAAGGCATAAAAAATAACGCTGATACTTTGTTTGAACCGCAAGAACAAATGTTAAGTACCTGTAAATAGCAAATAAGAAATTTTGAGCAATTTGTTCAGATTTTGAGGATTTTTCATTTGTTTTTGAGGAATTTGGTAATATTTTTGTGGCAACACTGATGCTGGTGCTGAAAAATTTTGGTCCTGCAATAGTAGCGTACCTAACGGAGGTCCTCAATTTGTCTATGGCCACTCTCATCATCCCAGACATCTGGAAGGTGGGGAGAGTGGTCCCACTGCTCAATCCGGGGAAACCTGCCAACAAAGGAGATTCGTATCGACCGATAACACTCCTTTCCCCGGTAGCGAAGACACTTGAGGCCCTGCTGCTCCCGTATTTTACGAACCACCTGACCCCAGCGAAGCATCAGCATGGTTTCCGTAAAGTGCACAGTACAACAAAAGCATTTAACGCCATAAACACTCAGATAACTTGTGGCCTTAACCGTAACCATCCCTGTGAGAGAACGATTCTAGTAGCATTGCACTTGTCAAAGGCGTTTGACAATGTCAGCCATTCCACACTACTACAAGATATAGAGGCTTCCGCTCTCCCACAGAGGCTCAAACGGTGGTCGGCAAATTATCTGAGTGGTCGACACTCGTCGGTAATGTTTAGAGACAAATCGAGTAAACTCAGGAAAATAAAACAGGGGGTTCCACAGGGTGGTGTCCTTTCCCCGCTACTGTTCAACTGTTATATTTCAAAGCTCCCTTAACCGCCAGAGGGAGTCTCGATTGTCTCTTACACCGCCGATTGCTCGATCATGGCGAGTGGGAATGGAATTGATGACTTGTGTACGAAAGTAAACGGGTATCTCTCCGAGCTTTGTCGCTTCTTCACTGCAAAGTGTCTAGCCCTCTTCCCTACGAAATCCTCTGCGACCTTGTTCACCACCTGGACGAAGGAGGTCACGCTACCGCTGGGAATTCACGTCGATGATACACCAATTCCGACGGTGAATAGCCCCAAAATACTCGGAGTAACATTCGACAGCCTGCTCTCCTTCTCTGCGCTGTTGTCAATAAAGTACAGAGCCGCAACAAGGTCCTCAAGTCGCTAGCCGGCAGTACTTGTGGCAAAGACAAAGAAACGTTGCTGGCAACATACAAGACAATAGGCCGGCCGGTTTTAAACTACGCAGCACCAGTGTGGTTGCCGGGGACTAGTAGGACGCAGTGGATGAAGCTTCAGACAACACAGAACACCGCACTCAGGACAGCGACTGGATGCCTCCTGATGACGCCGTAACACCACCTTCCTGACGAGGCAAAAATGCTCCCAGTCAAGGAGCACAACATAATGCTTTGCAAGTTGCCTCTCCACCATGGGGAACCGATACGACGGAAGTAACACCTGCTGCTACATCAGCGTTCTCACTGTCTCAACACGCGGCGGCTATTCTGTGCCCACTGCGGGCAAGAGGTATCTTTTCCAGATATCGCCCATGCCCGAGACCAAAGCCAGCAGCCCCAACCGTTACAGCATCACCCGCTGCCCACGGTACCGCGTTGCAACCTGAATGGCGAGACGTCGACGGTCGCTTTTACGCCGACGTCACCATCGAAGGATTGCACATACGGGCACTGGTGGACACAATAGCCACACTAACGTATATCGACGACAACACGCGCGCGTATCTGGAACAGCGCAACATCCGGCCTCAGCCAAATGAATGGAATGTACAAGTCGCGGATCAAACATGCGTCGCTAGCACGCACACCTACCCCGTCAGGATTGAATACCACAATCGATTCACGCGCACATCAGTAGCAGTGATTCCTAACCCAGCAGAGCAAATGACACTAGGAATGGACTTCCTTGCAAAACTAGGCACCGTCGTCAAGCTAGACGGCCAGCCACTAGCTCGCGCCACACCACCGAAGGCTGATTCTCCACCCACTCTGTGCTGCCTGGCAGAGAGATTACACTTGGCCAAAGAGCAGAGCAGAGAGCCGACACGATTCGCCTTACCGGACCAAGCACTGCCGCCGAGCACGTGATCATGCTCCGGTAAAATCGACCGCCGAAACAGCGCTATCTCTCACGCAACGCCGCCATGCGTACCAAAACTCGCATTGCAAACACCATTGAATCTCAAATAGAAGCCGAAAACGACCGCAGAGGCGACCCCCATTCGAGGAAATGCCATGGCCGCCCAACAAATCACGCTTTACAAGCGTAAAGATTTTTCGCGGCCCACCGCTCTTACAGCCAGACGCGAGCCCCTGACTCCAGCTGTTCGCACCCTCGAGCCCCCCGGTACACTCCGATACGGCCACACCGAACCACTACGGCTCCGATATGGTGCCACCAACAACGGCCAATGCAGCACCAGGCGGCGTCAACGAAGAGCAGCCTTGCGACTCCCACACCACGGTGAAAGCCTGCTGATTTCAGCAACTATGGTCGAAGAATAAACATCAAATTTAGACTTAAGCGAAACATTTTTTTAATTTTGTCACCTTTTTTTGAAGCTAATTAACACACACGTACTCTGAATAAAAATTACTGTACAAACTTGGGCTTAAGTTAACACCTTTACGCTTGAATTATGTATATTTGCTACAAAAAAAAACATAATAGTAATTAATTAAATTTTCTTTTTATATATAAGTCTAAAAATATGTATTAAAGTTTACAACAAATAAAGGTTCATTAACACACACACCGACCGAGCCTTCACGCATCGTTTAAAGGTAAACTATACCGAGGCATTACCTCAGGTAGTGCAGGCCTTCGGACCCAAACTCCGGAATACTGCACCTTTTCATCCGCCGAAGTGGGAGGGGGACTGAACGTAGCTTCCCTACGCTACACTGTTACGCCCCTACATACCCACGTACATAGCAAACCATCATGCATATACATACTCACAATACATAAAGATATACGCAATATCACCACTATGCACATACACCCGTACTAATAGTCTCTCAAAACAAAGCGCACAGAACCACACAAAAGATGCATAGCAATCAAAAGAATTCGTGCACGCCAACACACCACGAAAGTTCGCTGCGTTCTCATGCCTACGGATTGCGATCTTCATTCGCTTCTCAAACGTTTCATTCGACGACCGACTTAAAGTGATCAACGCGAACTCAGCCGGCACCAGCTTCCGTAGGTAAGCACGGAGCGCATCGTGAGGCTTAAGCCGTAAACCTCTAGCGCCATTGGCTTTTTTTGCGTGAAATGCTGACAGGTTGAGGGTTGCAAAACGAGATATCGTCGTTACGCTAGACGGCCAGCCACTAGGCCGCGCCACACTGCCGAAGGCTCATTCTCCCATCCACAAAGTGCTACCTGACAGAGAGATTGCACTTGGACAAAGAGCAGAGCAGAGAGTCGACACGATTCGCCAACATTACCGGAGCAAGCACTGCCGCCGAGCACGTGATCATGCTGCGACAAAATCCTAGGGCTTGGAGCCCCACAACACTCATGTATATATACAGATAATTTTTGAATTGTACATAGAATATTAAAAATTGAAAACACATACTTTGAATTGTAGCCACATATTGTACAGCACTAGTTGAAGTGATTTGAATTACCGTTATTGTTCATATAATCATATACATACAATTGTACATATAGTTTAAGCACGTTGGCAATAAAGAACAAAGCGCAAAGGACAACGGGACATACGCGACGCGACTGCGGCCGACAAGTTTCGGATGGATATCGCACTTGTTGACGAAAAGATATTTCATATCATACGTCAACAAAACCGATAGCGATTCGAAAATTGTCGCTAACTGGATACAGAATCTGCCTACAAAAATGATACTTGTCCGATTCAGCTGGAACAAAAATACTTCAAACAAGTAAGAGTTTCTCTGTATTATGGCACCGAACCGGCATATATACATCTTTCATTTGAATCAGTATTAAAAGCAGTGTGTCCAGATTGTTTTAAAAAAAGCGCAATTTCTTAAAAAAAAAATTGCCAAAAATTGCCAACTTTTTTTTTTATAAAATTCATGGAATCGATTTAACAAATCTTTTATTTTAAAAATGAAATATCTTTTAAAACCAAAAACGAATACAACACCTTCAGACGGTAATAATAAATAACAAAAATCACTTATATAATAGTGACGTACAAACAATTTTCTTTAAAAATAGGCATACTTTTTAAAAATGTTTGTTTCAACACATTTTGCAATAGGTCTGTGCAATTATTAAATTTATTATAACTCATATCAATTGATTAATCGCACAATCCGCTTTTAAGAGGTCGGCGCTAAAAATTAAATAAAAACCTCGCCTTATTAGGCGAGATCAGCTATTTCCACAATTTCATCAAAATCACCTATAGTGTCTGAATGATTTACACTTCTGTTGTTGTCATATATTGAGCTATTCGACCTTGATAACATATTGTTTGATATTGGAAACGTTTTGCAGCAGAAACTATTAGGCTTCATATAACACTTTATTCGAACTATTGAATTACGGCTTTCCACCTCATCCTATTTTGAATCTTAGTTTTTGTTGAGGATAATAATATGAATTTACTATATTTCCAAATATTTTATTGCCAAATTTTTATTGCGGTTTTCACTCCGTAAACAATTATCCAAAATTCTTCAGTCGGATGGAATGGTTCTAAGAAAAGTTATTCCATGGGAAAGTTAAAAGATTTAAATATTACGTTTCCGCTGCTTTTCTTTCCTTGAAAGTCAAATAGAGAATTGGCAGGTCCCTGAAACTCACCCTCTTGTAATTCACACACTTTTCTGGTGACAAAATCAAAGCGTTTTTAAAAGTATTTAATTAACTAGGTAATCGTTTCAAAAGTTCTTCGATTAGGGTGATTAAATTGACTCAGCACATCACTACTGCTGTCATCTCGACTGTGACGCCAGCAAAACAGCTGATTCTGTCAAATTCACTGAGAGCCGATTAGCGGCATTGCCATCGGCGCCACCTTCTGATTCTCTCCACCGTGCAACAAGAGCAACCAACACAGCAAACACTCGCCAACACCAAAACGCGAGGAAAATGGCTGCGCCCGCCCATAGAAGCCGAAAACAACCGCAGAGGCGGCCACCATTCGAGGCAGCGCTATGGCCGCTCAACAAATCACTGTAGCGCCAGCTGCTTGCCAGATACTTTTGTAGGTGAATGTATGTATGTGGGTATGGAGTGGACCAAACATAAGGCAATCGGGCATCTATGTTAACTGAGCGTAAATGTGGGTACTGGATCGAACATAAGTAGTATGATCAAACCTCGATGTTAACCGATTGTGACTGTGTGAGTGTATAAGTATTCGATCGAACATAGTTAGTCAAACATTAACCATGTAACGCACAGAGAAAGTTCGAAGTGCTGAGTGAAACTAAAGTTCAGAGTGTGTGTGTGAAAGCGGTTTTTCTTTTGAGTTTTCATCGTGCATATGTAAGTACATAACACCGATTGAGTCATTTGGCCAGGCCAAAGGGTATAAAATGACCCAAGTGGTGGCGAACGGTTCAGATGCAAAAGTTATGGTGCTAGCGTTATTATAACCGGTGAAGTAACAGTGTAAAAGTTAAGGTTAAAGTTATTTTTAAAAAAAAAAAAAAATGTACCTTGTTTAAAGTGCTTGTAGTTACTATACAATTTTGTGAATTGTGCCGTTTTTACCGGATTGTCACATACCGGTGATCGCAAATCTGTAACAGTGTAGTGCTAAATTGGGAACTGGAGGTAAGAACTGCCTAATATTATTACCCAACCTTAAATCTGCAGGCATTCATAGATACGCCAACGCATATGTATGTATGTATGTACATATATATCGTTACCTTAATATAGAAAGGCCCTGTCTCACATTTGTATTTCTTCAAACATACTTTGATAATTTAGAGAAAGGCAAAGTTCTACAGTTGCAAATTTCGTAGAACTGCTGATTTTTATTAAAGATAATATTTTATCTAACGCTGTAATATTTGTTTTCAATTTCTATTATTTATTTATTTATTTATTTAATCTAGAAATAAACATTTCGTACAGACTATTTGGTAAAAAAACCAAATATAAATTAATAACTAATTTAGCATACTATTTAAAAGTAGTTTGAAATTAGATTTGGAAGAGAAATCGATAGCAGAAGAGTTTAAGAGCGAATTAAAGTCGTTTAGAGCTCTGCGAATAGGACCCAGAAGATAATTTAGGTAGGCCTTCTTAAGTAAAGCCATTCTAAGAGGCCTACCCAAGAAGGGCTGAAAAAAGTGCTAGCCTGAATGCCTTCTAGAAGGCCTTTTCTAGTTATAATTTGCCCGAATGCAACCCTGCATGAACTCAATAGATATGCTGGTCTGGCAACGCGATCATAGCTGAAATTTATGTATACCAACTCTTCAAGCGATCAACACGTGTGTGTAGAAATTTTAAAAGAAATATAAGCAATAATTCAATAAATAACTTAAAATATTCTAATGTAAGTGTTGTAAAAATGTATAAAAGGGGAATAAGTAAAAGTAGCTTTCATAGAAACCTGAAAGTAGAAAAACAAAAGCTCTTAAATCAATTGCGGTTGTGCAGAGGCGCACCTCAGGCGAATAATGTTAATTGTGAAAATCCCATAGATACCATTGATATTCCCACCACTTCTGCAGCGGCTAATGTCGAAGAAATTGATGTTTCTTTAGTTCCAAGACATCAGGTGGAAGAAACTCTACAAACTAAATTAATTAAATGGTGCAATCAGTACAATCCGACACGCGCAAGTGCAAATGCATTGCTCAAAATTTTAAGCTCTGAGGGTTTGGCGGTCCCTACCCACATAAAAACACTTTTAAAAAATAAGAATTGCTCAGAAAGTGTGATTTTTAGGACAGTGTCACCGGGAACCTATTGCCATATAGGTTTTTTGAAGCAACTAGAAAAACTTCCACATGAGTTTCTGCCAGAAGAAAATTCAATAACTTTTGATATAGGGGTAGATGGTATTCCGCTCTATAAAAGCAGTTCCCAAAGTTTGTGGCCAATTATGGGAAGGTTTGTGAACATCAATATTGATGTATTTTTAATTGGTGTCTACCTCGGCGGAACAAAGCCTTACAATATAGACTCATATCTACATGATTTAGTTTCGGAAATAAAAAACCTTAAAGAAAGCGGAGTTGAGCTCTATGGTCGCAGTTTCCAAATTGATTTACGAGCGTTCATCTGTGATGCACCTGCTCGCTCTTTCATGTGTAGCACGGTAGGCCATAACGCTTTAATAGGATGCGAGAAATGCTACCAAAGGGGCCAAAGGATTAATAACGTTACAACTTTCAGTACAGCCTCAGCTGAACCAAGAACGTATGAAGATTTTCGTAACAGAAAGCAAATGCAATTCCATAAAGGTTTTCATCAAAAGAGGCATAGTGAATTAGAGTTAATAGGAATTGATATGATTACTCAATTCCCCTTAGAGCCTATGCATTTGATAGACCTTGGAGTTATGCGAAAATTTCTAACGCTTCTTATAAATAGAAAAACCGTTCAAAAAATTGGGACTAACGACAAAAATTTGATGTCAAATAAGTTGATTTCCCTTGCTCCCTTCATCCCCAGGGAATTTCAAAGGAAACCGCGATCGCTTAATGAAATTTGTAGATGGAAAGCTACGGAGTTCCGGCAATTTGCCCTTTATACGGGCTTAGTCGTTTTAAAAGGTATTGTAGGCGAGGAAATGTATAATGAATATTTACTACTACATGTATCTTACAGGATGCTTTCTTCACCAGTAAATTCCAACTTTAATTTAAATAAGGCGGAGGATATGCTTAAGCTTTTCGTACAAAAGTTTCCAATTTTGTTTGGCGACTCCTGCGTGACATTCAATGTACATAACCTGCTGCATTTGCGAAAGTGTGTAGAAGATATGGGCGCACTTCCGAATTTTACAGCTTACAGTTTCGAAAATTTTATGCAGGAATTGAAAAAAAATGTCCGAAAGCCTTCTAAGATTCTGCAGCAGATAAGTAACAAATATTCCACCTCACATCTTAAGATTAAGGCTGTCCCAACGGGTTTTAAAAGAAATAAATTGGGGAAAATTATAAGTTTTCAAAATGAAAATTTCTTTGTGAGTACACGAATGCCAGATAATTTGTGCTGCATAGCTCCTTTTCAAATAGTAAGAATTACTGGATTTGTCGAAAGAGAAGAAATTTTTTTGAATGGGACGGTACTCACACACTTAAAAAATTTCTTTGAGCACCCCGTCCAATCTATGAATATGTTAGGGATATGCACTGGAAATATTTTTGATGAAAACGCTGATAAAAGAGATTTTAAGATAGATGAAGTAATGTGCAAAATGATGTACTTTCCCTCAGAAAATGAGTATTTATTTATTCCTCTTTTACACGGCTTCGACAACACTTATTTATAATTTAATAATTTCATAAAAACAAGATGTCGAAAAAAGTATTAAAAAGCTTGTGCACTTCAAACGCTAATTTTGAAACTCACACACAAAATCACATACAATTGCGAAACACTGTCACAAATGATTCCAAGGACGCGCAAATAAATGGTAATATTATTCGTATTTTTTATTTTAAATTTACTAATTTTAACTTTCCTATATCTTGCAGATTTACAATTAAGAATCGATAATTTAGAAAATACGGTAAACAAGCAAAACGAAATCATTATGGAAGAGCTGGCCACAATAAAGGCGTACACCCAACAGCTTGTTTTGTTTAAAACAGGAAACGCCGAAATAATAAAGCTGTTTCCAATAAAAACTGAGGAAGATTTGAATAACTTCGAAAATTCAGAAAATTACGATGAAAATGAAATGGTAAGAAGCTGCTTAGTTATTTTCCTCAATTTAATTTATACAAAATATACTGTCTTTCTTTTCTAGATCATGACTGTTCGGAAAATAATAAAAAAAGGCGGTTTGAAGCGAAATTTGTCGAGCCTCCTGGGGCCAGAGATAATAAAATCTTTTAATTATGATGGCATGCAGGGGAAAAAGGCTTTCCGTAACTTAGCTGTGCTTAACAATATATTTTTTAGTAAGTACATGTAAAGATACAGATTACGTTAATTCATATTTTTAGCGTAGTTAAGGTTTTAAAATGATATTTTCCCTCTCAATATTTCAGACGCTGCCGAAGACGTGACAACGCGGGAGCAATATCGATCCGAAATGAAAAGCGGATTTAAATTAAGCAAAAGTCGACAATATAAAGCAACTCATTTGCTTAAGAAGCAAAGTATTTGATTGACCTTTAATTTAAGTAATTCTAATATTTATTTTTATAAGCGTTAATTTTTAGTTTTTTGATCTCAATGAATTCAACTGTACCTAATTGCAATACCTTAATTTTTATATTAAATGAATTTCTTTGTATAAGTTAATATTTTTTAGCTAATAAGCCTTAGCGTTACAAACGAATGTGAAGTGCATTTTGAGTTGCAATAAAACCTCTTTTGAAACCTTAGAGAAGTATGTATTTTTTTAACTAAAGCAGCACTTTTAGAAGAACTGCTTCAAAACGCCTTCTGAAGTACGTCTTCCAAAAGCCCATCTGGAAGCCCTTCTGTAGGTAGCGAAATAAGAAGGCCTTCAGTGGTATGTTCTACAAAAGCCCGCCTGGAAGACCTTCTGTAGGTAGCGAAATAAGAAGGCCTTCAGTGGTGCGTCCTACAAAAGCCCTTGTGGAAGCCCTTTTATGGGTAGCGGAAGCAGAAGCCCTTCAATTTGTCCCACTCCATACAAAAAAGAAAGGAAGAAGGAATGTAAAGTGGAAGGCCTCTTGACTCCCAGGAAGGGCTTTTTACACCTAAAATTATCTACTGGGGAGCGTTATTCCTGACAAAATCCAGAGAAAAAATGTCATGATTCCTAAGGCTTCTTGGTGGGATATTAAATGTAATCCGTTCGAGTAAGAACGGCGAGTCAATCGCACCCCGTACAATTTCAAAAACGAAAGTAAGAGAAAGATTGTGCATGTGTATTGTGCAGTGATTTAAGGTTTATAAGCATGCATTTAGCAGTGAAAGATGGGAAAGGGTCAACGAAATGTAGACAGCGTAGAGCATAACGAATAAAAGATTTTTGGATACGTTCAATTCTGTTGATATGACATTCATAATATGGTCGCCAGATGAAGACAGCGTACTCGAGCTTAGAACGAACAAGAGTAGTGTATAGTAATTTTATGGTATATGGATCAGTGAAGTCCGAGGTAAATCGACGGATAAATGCAAGCATTGAATATGACTTTGCAATGGTATAATTTAAGTGGCTGTGAAAAGTAAATCTAGCATCAAAAATTACTCCTAAGTCAGAAACTTCACCAATGGTGGCAAGCTGCGAGTCACCAATGAGATAAGAAGTCTGGGTAATGGAACGTGATTTGGAGTGGGAGACATGGTAACACTTTTTTATATTTAAATTTAATCTATTTTTGGAGCACCAAGCAACCATATTAAGATCAGCCTGTAGATTAAATGAGTCTGAAGCATTAGAAATTGTAGAATAGATTTTCCAGTCATCCGCATACAATAGAAATCTTGAAAAGTTGAAGCAACTAGAAATATCATTAATGAAAATCACGAAAAGTAGGGGACCCAAGATGCTCCCCTGAGGAACTCCAGAGGAGGCGACGAAGGGATAGGAGAACACATTGTCAACTACAACAATACAATTCCGCGAAGAAAGATATGATTTTACCCAAGATAAAAAAGCTGAAGGAAAGCCTATGCTAGCCAATTTTGAAATTAATATTGACTGACAGATTTTGTCAAACGCCTTAGAAAAGTCCGTATACACGGTATCGACTTGCAGACGGTTATTAAAGGATTCGGTAAAAACAGCTAGGTTAGTTACAGTGGACCTTCCAGGCATAAAACCATGCTGATTAACAGATATTAAGGGACTAACAGCAAAAAATACTTTTTGTTTGACAATAAACTCAAATAATTTGGATATCGTTGATAATTTAGCTATTGGCCGATAGTTGCTTATATCGTTTTTATTGCCAGATTTGAATACCGGGGTGATAAGAGTGGTCTTCCAAGCATCTATAAACTCCCCCTGTTCAAGCGATTTATGGAAGATCAAAAAAAGTGGATAGGCAAAGGCAGGACAATTCTTCAACAGGAATGACGATATTCCATCGACATCGGATTGAGTTGAAGATTTGATATGCCGGATGCCATCCTCAACATAATCAATTGAAATATCAAGCGAACCAAAATTGATAGGAGAATGGGCACTCTGAGGATAACCGCCACAAGGATCCGAATCTTTCACAAAGCTAGAGCGAAAGAAATCCGCGAAAAGATTGGCAGCTTCAGAGGGAGTAGAGGCTTACATTTCATGATAAAACACATCACTGGGAATACTGGAACACGATTTCTTGGACTGGACATACCTCCAAAAAGCCTTCGGATTCAATTTTATTTCCGACTCAAATTCAAGAACATAATTCCGCTTAAGAACCTTACTCATCGACTTAAACTCTCTGGAGTATCGCAAGTATTTATCCTTGTGAGATAGGGCATTTGAAAGTTTAAATTTCTTAAAAAACTTGTTTTTCAAATTCTTCAATTTTTTAAGATCTTTGGTATACCAGGGAACCTTATAGCTTTTTTTTTATGCACTATTGGTATATTATCCGCACAGATTACATTAATTTATTGCTTAAAAGTATCGAAACAATGTAAAACACCAACCCCCGCAAATAACGAAACCCAGGCTACAGATGAAACCACATCATTTACAACATCAAAGTTGCATTTTCTATAGCAGAAGCTAGTAGGATTACTATACGATAAAACAGTTCTAAACTCATAAAACTCTAAATGAAGAATAAGCGGAACATGATGCAGGCCGGGAGTCGATAATGGGTCAAGGCACTCATTAAGTGTGAAATTTAAATCATTACTAATAAAGATAAGGTCTAGGATTCTAGATAGCTTATTAGAAAAACGATTAATTTGTGATAGGTTAATACTTAAAAAATTATCAATGACATAACATTCACAGCCACTGTTAACATTCGTAGGATATAAGGCTAGGCCATTATCCAAACTAGACCAGTTAATGTCACACAGGTTAAAATCCCCAACAATACAAACATTTTCATTATTAGAAGCAAGGCAAGAATATTATCTACATGCGCTTTATATAAAGACTCAGCACTAGACGGCGGAACATAGGAAGCACATATAAAAAGCTTAGACAAGCCATTGACCGAAACGCAGAGCTGATCCAGCAGGGTATCCGCAATCGCCAAAGGGAGAAGCGACGATCGATAGTTTCGCCTAACTGCAATGAGTACTCCACCACCTCTAGAGAGCCCCGTTTTAATATAGTCACGGTCTTTGCGAAAAACGTTGTACAGATTGGAGTCAAAAAACTCAGAATCGAAAAAATTTGTATTAAGCCAGGTCTCAATCAGTATGTAAATATCATAATCTGAGTGAGAACTCATTTCAAAAAGTGCCTTGGACTTTGTTCGGAGGCCGGAAACATTTTGATAATATATTTTTAATTGCTTGGAAGGAACTTTTCTTGACACAGGGTTAGTTATGCCTCTTTCTGAGGAGCACCGTCTCGTTGAAAAAAACGAAACGGACGAATCAACACACTCTCTGAGTGTCCGCCTTAAGCAGCTTCTCGTTACTAAGATCCGAATCTTTCTTTATTAGCGGGTAGAAAACCATCCACTTTACATCGATTTTAGCTGTCTTAGAAGCATACGATAAAAGATCAGCAGCGGTTACACTAGGCGAGAATGAAGATATATGCAGCCATTTCAAGTCTTAGCTCATTGGTGCTGCATGAGCCAATAACCAAAGGTTTTACAGTATTGCGTTTACGTTTTGGTACAGTTTTCCAGCCGGGTGTTTGCAATGTATTAGTAGCAGTCGCAACAGCACTCGCAGTAGGCGTCGTAGCTTGCATTACCACTGGGACAGGCGAAGAAGTAGGAACAGGAGAAGAAGAAAAATCGCCATCACAAGCAGCATTGCAGAGACCAGATGGTGTAGCGGAAACGGGATCGCGAGAGCCCGACGCAGCAGGCGCGCGGTTGTTTACATGCTGTAGAGCGCGAACATTTGAAGAAGATAACGAAATAAGTAAATGAGACGAGGCAACAGAAACCGTCGTGTCACTGTTGTTGCCAAATTTATCATCACAAGCAGAGGCAGCATCAGGAGAGCCCGACGCAGCAGGCTCGCTTTTGTTTACAATCAAATGCACTTGTGACGAATTTGGAAGCGGCGAGAAAGTGAGCAGTTCGGTGTCCGCTGCCCGGCAACCGTTGACACCACTTTTGTTGTTATGAGCACTTTTAAGGGCACTTACTTCTGCAGTTAATGCATTAATAGCATTGGCATTGTTGTTACCATTTGCAGCCATTAAATTAACTTGGTTTTTTACACCATCAATCTGCGACGCTAAGTCTTTAAACTTTACTTCGAAAG